AAATTAAGTTTTTCAACTTAACTTTTGAAAATGTTCCGGAAGGTCTGACACTTTTACATATATCTTAAATTAAAGCTAATGTAATATACTTTAATTTGAAAAAAAAAAATTTGACCTCTGGACTTGTCTTCATGGTGAAAACGGCTACCGAATGCTATTTTTGTGTGAAAATTTTCGATTTTATTATTTATATTACATTTAACTTTATAATGCTATAACTTATTGAAAAGTTTATGGATCCACACAATTTTTTTATGAGAAATAATATTTTTTAATAAACCCTTTTTCATTCGACATACTTTATCTTAATCGAGATATTAATAAGGAACCAGCAGATCAAGTAGCTTTTGGAATAAAACACCAATTTTTTTAAAATTAAACACTATCTAAAGATTTGCATCGAAGCGTTTATTTTTGATAATGATTTTAATCACTATCAGATATCATTATACTTGATCCAACTATGTCACGTCACCACTGTGCCGCGACCCCCCTGTGCTGGGTTTTTTTATATTGAAATCTTAGGTAATTTTCTTTCATTTTATATCATTTTTTTTGATAATCTAACACTTATTCTGTTCAAAAGGAGGGATTTAAGATAGCAACTTTTTTACAAAGACCAAAATGTTCCGGAAATATTCACAATTTTTTTTTATCTTAAATTAAATCTTATAATATATACTTTACTATGAAAAAAAAAAATTCAAAATATACATTTTCTTCTTGGTGAAAATGGCCACCATATTCAAAAATATGCTATTTTTGTGTTAAAATTCTGGGTTTTGTATTTGATTCTATTTTAAAATATCTTACAAGGAGAATAGACTGACTCACATGAATATTATATAATTTAATTGAAATAGAATAAAGTTCATAAGTCAACAGGAGGACTCGAGAAGAGTCAAACCGACGAACTTGACGTTTAAAGTGTTTAATTTTATATCTACACCGCGGTACTACCGACGTATGACATTTCAACCAAATATAATTTGTGAACGACAAATGTCAATTAGATAACAAAACGATGAATATACATAGCAATATTATAATCCGTTTTTAATGCGATTTATTAAACATTAAACTGGTGTGTAAATGTTCTGTTTATGTGTGTTAATTGTAATATTATATTATTCCTTATAATATTAACATATAATATGTGACGTGACAAAAAGTATCTATTTATTTTTTGTCTATTTGTATATATTTAGGGATGGGTAGTTCTTGAGTGAGTCAACTCAACGAGTTTACTCTTTTAGGTGAACTGAATGAGCTGAATCAGTGTGCCATGGTACTGTGACTCAATGACTCAGTGTGGACTACTAAGAATTGAATTTAGTTTAAAACGTCTTATCAATAAATTCTGAATCATGCGAATTATGATATATAGATTTAACTTACAGAAGTAGAAATTGATGGAGTAATATTTGGGTCATCAATCGTCTCTTTTATTACATGAGCTATTTAATAAATTTACTAATGGATGCATAGATTTAATATGCCTAATTAAATTTGAAGTCGAAGAATAATTATTTTTTAATTTTATACGACAAAGTCCACACTTTACATGAATATTAACTGCTTCAAGTTGAAAAATATCCCAAATAATACTTGATTTATTCATTTTAAAATGAAATACAATACCTTCGTAAATTAAATAAAGTGTTTCACAATTTTCGATTTTGTGCACAAGATTTATTGTAATCACAGGAAACAACGTTGACACAATGAGTAAAATTTTAAATAAATGAGTCTAGATTATACATAATATGTCAGTTTTTAGAACAATATTCATTCAAAAATAGAGTTGTAATTGCATACAAGAAAATTTTGAAAAATACCAGAGAAGAGACATATTTTTCTCACTGCACGCACTAAACATTAGACATTGATAATACCTACATTGTATTTGTATACCTAATTTAACACAAAAATAAATCTATGTGTTGATGTTAATAATAAAAAAAACCCAGCACAGGGCGGTCGCGGCTAAGTGGTCACGTGGCATAGTTGGATCAAGTATTATGATATCTGACTGTGATTAAAATCACTATAAAAAAAAAACGCTTCGATTCAAATCTTTAGATAGTGTTTAATTTTAAAAAAATTGGTGTTTTATTTCAAAAGCCACATGATCTGCTGGTTCCTTATTAATATCTCGATTAAGATAAAGTATGTCAAATGAAAAAGGGTTTATTAAAAAATATTATTTCTCATAAAAAAATTGTGTGGATACATACACTTTTCAATAAGTTATAGCATTATAAAGTTAAAAATGTAAAATACAAAATTGAAAATGTTCACATAAAAATAGCATTCGGTAGACATTTTCACCATGAAGATAAAATAAAGTCCGAATTTTTTTTTTTTTCATAATAAAGAACATTACATTAGCTTTAATTTAAGATATATATAAAAGTGTCAGACCTTTCGGAACATTTTCAAATGTTAAGTTGAAAAAGTTAATTTTTTGTAAAAAAGTTGTCATTTTAAATCCCCTCCCTGTGGGCAGTTAAAAGGTCAAATATAAAAAAAATATACCAAATGAAAAGTAATGATATCATGCATCTATATAAAAAAAATTATATTGATATATTCATTTTTTAAAAAGTTATAGCAATTTTAAATAAAAAAAATTGAAAAAATTTCGTAAATTAGCGATTTTTAAATTTGTAATTTTTTTGGAGGTTTCCCCCATTTACGGAGAACGAGGGATTTTTTTTCAATTTTTGAGGGTAACTTCTTCGACTAGATACGATTTGTGATCTTTTGACGTATCATTGAAAGAAATCGGTTCGGTGAGAACTGAGAAAAAGTGGTAACAGACACAAAAAAAAAAAAAAAATAAACACATCTTAGTAAAACCAATACTTTCTCAGCTTCGCATCGAAGCTAAAAAATAATTTTTTTAGATTTCAAATTTACTCTTTATTTCAATAATAATTAACAAATTTAAATATAATTAGTAAAAATATTAAACAATTTAATAGAAAAATATTTTATAAACATCAAATAACCAAATAAATTACTTTTTGTGTAACTATTGTGGGTATGTATTGAGAATCTAAAATTTTAACAGAGAAAAAAGGAATCAAACTACTGAATGATTAAAAATTTTAACTTAAAATTAGCTCAACCATCTTATGGGTAAAAATCAGGGTTTGAGGCCCATTATCTCATAAAATTATTAATTAGTAATAACCAACTACTTTTTCCATAATGTACATACAATTTGAATTTGCGGTACTGTGCTTAGCGGTAAGGCCGTGATTAATAGCCGGTGGGTACCCGAAAACGTTCATTGTATTATCTAATTGTAAAAGTGTAGGTGTTACTAGTATTTTTTTTTATTAATATCTGTTTTTTTTTTTATTTCTCTCTGTTCTTCTTTAATTTGTAGACGAGGTTTTTTGACCGTTCGGTTTTTTGCCTCGTAGTAACTTAATTTTTTTTTTTAATAAAGTCCCCTAAATTTAACTTAACTATTATCTTATTTTTTTTTTGCGCGTTCCATCTTCAATGGACTCGTGTATTTGTTTATCTTTTTTCCTTTCAAAAATCAACTCCCCTTAGTTTATAAGGTACGGGTAATGGCCATGTATTAGGTCATTCCTCATTATAACCATTATTATGGTTATGTGACAACTGTCACGAGGTTTTGGTGTACATCTACTATCAACGACTCAACGGACATCAACTTTAATCTTTATTAATTTTATATTTCTTTTTTTTTATCTTAAATTGCTTTTAATTAACAATATTTAATTTTTTTTTAAATCCTACTGTGGTCCGACAATACAGTGTCTCGCCAAGTGGGTTGGCGACCCTTTCTACTCAATGCGCCATGAAAGTTACAAATTTTTCGTTGCGGCCAAATAGTTTGATTTTTTTTATAATTGTAACCTTTCAAATATGATGTTATCATTTGTACATGTATGTCACATATTATGATTATACAAGATCACAATATTAAATTTTATTTAATAATAAACATATATTGTGAGCTTTTATTATTAGGTAGCAAGTCTTTGACTTTAATGTCTTTATTCTAATGAACATCGCGCCGGCGGACAGATCTAAAGGTCACAATTTCCTCAGTCAATACTGAGAATTAAATTAATTTATTAATAAATATGTTGGACTATGTGTATTGTCGTAATATGCTCAATGCTTTGCATTGCGCATTTTACATTATTAATGAAAAATGTATAATCTGTATTTTAAATAACTTGTAAACAAACAAATAATTTATCTGTCATAACAAATACGATGTTCAACACAATTTCTTATTATTTATATATATATATGTCAATTTATCAATTGTTAAATATGTTATCTGAATATAATAATCATGTAATGTATAATTAATACAATTAACTAAAAAGATTACTAAAAGCGCTGACAACAATATCCCTGGATTGGGGGTACTATCATTTTACTATAAAAAGCACTGAAATCTTTTCAGACTAGGGAGAGTCATGGAGAGACTCCAGAGAGACTCGAAGGAGTGACAGCGAGCGAGAGAGTCCGTTTTCTCCGAATTAAAATAAGAATAAAAAGAAATAATTATCAGTCACAGCCCTGTGTTGTTGTCGGCTAACTTTTACGCGTTTTATTTATATATGAAAAGAACTTGTTTTAATTATTTATCTTTTGACGAAGTGCGAATTAAATACTTTTAAGCATATATAAACATATCGAGATAATTATCAAATCATTTTACAAGCAATTTGCAATAATAAAAGAAGTAAGTAATTTTATGTTATCCCAATTATTTGGAGTAAATAAGTTTGAGCAAAGGATGACAAAGCAATAGATCATTTATTAAAATAATATTTTAAAGTGTCAATTTTGACTGGTTGGTTAAAGAAATTATACATAATTACGTTATATGGTATTCGTGGACTAGCTCTGCCGTCTCGTTGCCGAGGTATTCGTGAATTGGCTTCGCCGTTTCGTTGCCTCTTAGTTAGGACATCAGAAACTAATCAGACAAAAGTTTATTATACCTCTATAAGAGTAACTTAACATATATTTTTATATCTACTTGTCTTTATCGTTCTAAATCCTCGAACCATACGACTCCGATAGAACCACAACATCAGGTTCACACTTTATACAAAAACCCAAGTCCCCATCTTATAATTTATTTTTATTTTTATTTTATTAATTTTTGTCTTGGTAATTATTGTGCCGCATCCTTTCAAGGTGCTAGCTCCGGGACACATTGGGCCACCACGATTCCGCCTTGATACATTTTTTACATAGATATAAATATTTCTGAATTTTGTTTTGGCCAGACCGGAGAAATATTTAGGCAATATTGGTGTCGATCTCTTAATAAAATATACTTTCTAAAAAAAAAAAATACTGTTCAACAGATGTAAAAAATTAATAATTAAAAAATAAAATTATATCTATAATAAAATATAGAGTGTTTAGAATCTTTTACAAGTAAAATCAGTCGTAAACTTTGTGTAATTAAATTATATTATTTAAAATCTTGAATCGTTCTTGTAAGTAATTATATGGACTATATGACGTATACTGTAAATCGTATACGTAGTGCGTTTAATACCAAAATAAACATTGAATTACTTGAAATATTATTGCACTACACAGGACATAAGGTAAGTAAAATTTAATCTATGCTTTCGAATCTCCAACAATCTATTGCGTGATAAACCATTAATAAAAATTAAATAGGAGAATTAATAATTAATAAGAGAAACAATTAATGAGAAAACTATTTAATAAGAACCCAGCACAGTGGGGACGTGGCATAGTTGGGTACAGTATAGATTTAATCTGATAGTGATTAAAATCACTATCATAAGAAACGATTCGATTCAAATATGTAGATAGTGTTTAATTTTAAGAAATTGGCGGATAATAACAAAAGCAACATCAACTTCTATTTCCTTAACTATATCCAGATTAGTAATTCTTTTACTTATATATTATATAATTTTTATAATTAATTGTTTCCAAATTATTATTGATTTTGATTTTTAATATGTTAAAAGTAATCATTTTGAACCTACTTTTTTTTGTCCTTTAAAGTGAGAGTTTATAATAAAAAAAAATGAATTTATTACAATAACTTTTAGCTCAATTTGGAAGTTTGAAATTGACATCATTAAATATAGAAAATGGTATTGTTAATATTAATATGCAATCAGGAAATTTTATAATTACTATCTACAGTAAATTTTTTATTTCATCCATTGTTAAAAATATAGCAACATGTTACGAAAAAATTTGGAATGTTATAGACTGGTAGTAGCACACACAAATAAAATAAAAAATTAATAAAATTCAAAGTAAAATTATATAATATCAAATATAATTCGACAATATACTTTAAAAGTATTAAAAATGAATGATTTTAATTGTTTGTATGGATAAAACTGATTTATGGTGCATTATTAAAATCATATTTTTAATTAAATACATTGACTTATTATACTATTTTGTACATAAATATCAGTTGCACATTTTATGCAAACCAATCTTATTATTTAAAATAAAATCGTTCTCATGAGCAATTAAATAGGCTTTATAATTTTGTAAATTATTAAAGAACAATGAAAATTTATAACTATTATACGTTAATTACATGCAATAAAAAACATTTTATACGTGTTTATTACAAATCCTAATAAAAATGTTGATACAGTATATAAACTAACTAAACGCAAGTAAATATAATTTATAAATTTATTTTATCTTTTTATATTATCATATATTAAAAATCATTTGATAGAAACACCGTGTCTCTCACAAATAAACAGTTAAAACCTAAATAAACTTTTTTTTTTCTTTTGAATTTTCCATTCATGAACATAATAAGTTTCATTTTTTACTTCGTCATAAAAAAAGCCTAGATTAGTATATAATTGTTTTTTCATATATTCAATACCATCTCTTAAATTAACTTCTACAAATTCATACATTTCAAACGTATTAGGTAAATTATTTCTATATATATAGTTCTCAAGATCTCTTGTAGGATAATCTAAACTTGTCTTGCGTTTATCAATGTAATAATTTCGAAATATTTTCTTCAAATTACAATCGTCCATTACGTAATTGTATGTTAAATTATTATAAATGGTTTCCACATATGAATTGTCATTTTCATTTATATCTCTCCTTATTAACCTAATAAATTGTAGTAATTCGTATAAAATAAATGGGTTGGTTTTGATATTTAACAAATTCATTAGGAAATGTATTGCACTAATAAAACATGTAATGAGTTTTTTGGAACTCTCAATATTTGGTAATAATAAACTCACACAATGCGCGCGATCTTCTGAAGTTGTACGGCTCTTTAGTTTCGNCGCGATCTTCTGAAGTTGTACGGCCCTTTAGTTTCGCAATACAATTAATAGCAATGTGTTTTATGTGATTCATGATCCATAATAAGCTTATTGTGTACTCATGATTAATAAGCAACATTGCTTCTCTTAATTTTTGATTAACATTATTATTATCCACGAGGTAATCTTTACAATAACTTTCTTTATCAAATACTAGTTTCCGAAAGTAAATTCTACTCTTGCTTACATCGTCATACACACTTTGTGCTGGTTCAATTTTCCACTTGTTTTCTTGTAAAAATGAATTTAAAAAATTAACTGCATACCCTTTATCATATGTTTTCTGTTCATTAATTGCGTTGACTGCCAAGATAAATATAAAGATGTTATAACTCATTATTATTAAGTGATTTAATACGTAATTAATGAAAAAAACAATTTGTTATTTTAAAATATGTATGTTGTGTAATTAAGTTTAATTTATTTTTTTATTTTTTTCTAATTGTAAAATTGACTAGTTCATTAAGTAAGGCGTACTATGCAATGTAAAATAAAACACGTCACAAGTTGTCGTGGCCTGTTCAGTTGTTATTAACAGTGTGAACAATTCATTTATAATAAATTTATTCTGACAAAACAATAATATTTCAATAAATTTATTGGTAAATAAATTTATATAAATTTTCCAATTTATAAAAGTGATTATTTTAAAATTCAAAACTATAAAATAATTCGTCAATTGTATAGTTTTTTAAAAAAAAAAAACTATATTTCAATATACTTAGTGATTCAAATGGATAATCCAACAAATTATTATCATACAGAGTGATTCAAATATATTAACCAAAAAAAATGATTTTTATTCATAGTGATTCAAATGGATAAACCAAAATATTATTATCATACAGCGTGATTCCAATGTATAAACAAAAAATTATTATTATACTGAGTGATTCAAAATAACGAAACTGTAGTATAAATATGTAGTAGGGTAGTCCTTAAAATGCAAATTTTCAAAATTCGATTTACGCGTGCCAAAAAATCGGAAATTTAAATAATAATGTACCATTCAAGTTTTAAAAAAAATTTCATGTATAAGTTGTTTGAAATTAAATTTTCTAGAAGTTTTGTAGAAAGAAAAAATTGTTTACGTGTTTTTTGACGAAGTAATAAAAAAACTTTTGAATAATAATCATTTTTCTATGATAATTAAAAAAAAAAAATTTACGATTTCTACCATAATAAAATAACATATGCTCACAAATTCATATTAACACTAAAAGAAAATATTTCAAAACAATCTTAATGCATATAAAATTACATTCAAGAATTATTCAATCTATTTAAAATTAGCAATAAATTAACACACTGCACTGTGTAATTTATCATAATAATAAAATGTACTCTACCAGTAATCGTGATTTCAACGTGATTTATTTTTTATGTATTTATTTACTTATTTTTATTTCAGACTCCTTCATATACCCGATCCGTGTCAAAAACTATTATCAAAATTTAGCTGGCAGCCCTCATTTACAGGTGCACGTGCACGCATCCAGCCTGTCCAAGGAACACTCATGCTACTTCACTGATAGTAAAAAGATGCCCGGCCTTTTCAAACGAAACTGGTGGTCTAACACTGTACGAGATCGCAACACTCGATCAAAGTGCTACGCGTATGACATGAAAGGCAGCGAACTCATCAAGTCTAAGGGAATCCGCGGACACGTCGTCCGCAATCATTTTCCTTTGGACGATTAGAATAGGTGTTTGTTCGACGACGATGACGATGGCGACGATGCGTCAAAACGAACGTTACCTGTAGAGAATACCCGTGTGGTCATCGGATTGTTACGTGGTGGTGAACAGCATCCATCATCGATATCCTACACTCCATACCAGCAGAACGTGTCAACCCGTTCGTTCGAGCACGAGGTACGCACTTTATGTACAACCAAGTTGGCGCTTTACCGTTTTGACGATAAGCGCTATACGCTCGAAAACAGAATCGATATGTTGGCCCACGGGCATTATGCTGAACCACCACCAGAAGACCTACAGTTTTACTAAAATTTTAAGTTATTATCGTTGTAAAAAATATTGTCCAGAATTAAAAATATATCTTTTAAATATACACGTTTTCGTATATAATTAATTTCAAAACATTTTTTTAATGTAACATAATATAGTATGAAATTGTAATTTTTATCTAAAAAAATATATGTATATGCGTAAAAATATCTATGAAATATATTTATATATATATATACTACAACGTTTTTTTTCTTCTTGTTGTATGTTATCATATATTATTCTTTTAATTTTTTTATCGTAAAATTGAAACATATTTAGTCATCACATAAAACATAATAACGTTTCTGTTCTTATATTTTAAAATCACCTTACACATATATTTAAAATATATGAAAAGAAATATTATTATGTATTTATATAAATATACCTATCTCAGAAGTACAATAAAACGAAAAACATTGTCTCGTTTTTCGCATTGAGACTTTCAAGTTTGACGATTCTTCTGCGAAGAGCCGCCACGTGCTTGTTCCGACAGGTTGTCCGTAGGGTCCCTGTTCGTCCCAAATTCGTTAGATAAAAGTCCATCACAGCACAGCTTCATACTGTACCAAGTCTGTATACTCTATGGTTTGCCGGGTGCCATAGAGGATCCCAATGGTCACTTTACCTTTCGGATAACTACACTGTGACAAGTTAGCAATCCTTTCACATGGTATGGCTGAGTTATGGGAGCCTATTCGCTGTTAGCAAGCAAATAAAACCGGTCCCAACTATCCAGAGCCATGACCGGCTAAGAGCAGTGTTACCTGTTGCCACCCCCACTGAATTAACTAGGGTCCGCGTGGTTGTTAAGCCCGTGATCCTTACGGATCCCACTGCGACAGTGTCAATCTCTCAATGAAACATATCAATTTAATAAAAATTAAGGTACGTTATTAAAATGATTTATTTATTAAAATACGTAGAGTTATTATAATACGTAATGTTTATTACATGTAACGAAAAACATTTTATACGTGTTTATTGCTAATCCTGGTAAAAATCTTGGTACAGTTATTAATTTAAATTTATGGATATATTTAATTTTTTTTAATTTTACATATGTTAATCAAATCGTTTATTAGAGCTGAGTCGCTTACAATTTAACAATTAAAACCATAATAATTTTTTTTTTTTCTTTTGAATTTCGCATCCATGAACATAAGAAGTTTCATTTTTTACTTCATCATAAAAGAAGCCCAGATTAGTATACAATATTTTGTTCATATTTTGAATTTCATTTCTTAAGTTAACTTCTACAAATTCATACGATTCAAACGTATCGGGTAAATTGTTATCGTTTTTATATCTTTCGAAAGCGTTATCACTATAATTTATACTAATATCACGCATATTAATTAAATAACTTCGAACAATTACATTCATATTACTATCATTCCCTATGTACTCGTATTTTAAATTATTTTCAATTTTGTCCACATATGAATTGTCATTTTCATTTATTTCTCTGCTTAATAACCCAACAAATTTTATTAATTCATCTAAAATAAATGGGTTAGTTTTGATATTTAACAAATTCATAAGGAAATTTATTGCACTAATAAAACATGTAATGAGTTTTTTGGAACTCTCAATATTTGGTAATAATAAACTCACACAATGCGCGTGATCTTCTGGGGTATAGAAAATTTTTAGTCTAATACAATCACTTGCTATGCATCTTACGTGATTTAAGATCCGTGCTAAACTTATTGCGTACTCTTGATTAATAATTAACATTGTTTCTCTTAGTTTTTGATTAACATTTTTTTCATTAACAATGTAACCTTTACAACTTTTTTTATTTAATAATCTATCAGTCGCGTAAAACGAACTCTTGCTTAAATGGTCATAAACACTTCTTAATCTTGAAACGTTCCAATTATTGGCTTGTAAAAATGAATTTAAAAAATTAATTGCATACCCTTTATCATATTTTTTCTGACCATTCGTTGCTTTGACTACCAAGATAAATATAAATATGTTATAATTCATTATTATTGAGTAATTTAATACGCAATTAATGATAAAAGGTGTTTCTAAAAAACGTATGTAATAAAATTAAGTTTAATTAAAAATATTTATTATTTTTTCTAATCGTAAAATTAAATAGTTGATTAATTGATGGCGTACTATGTAATGTAAAATAAAACACGTCACAAATTGTCGTAGCATGTTCAGTTGTTATGAACAGTGTGAACAATTCATTCATAATAAATTTACCCCGATAAAACAATAATTATTTTTGTTTACATTACATATATACTACATTTTAAATTTCTATCTTCTTACTGTCCAAATAATTATTTATTCTAATAAAGTTAATTGGATAATGAATTTATATAAAAATTAATCATTCGATTTATAAAATTCAAAAGTAAAAAATAATTCGTCAGTTTCACCATTAATTTGAATGAAAAACATTCCTTTCTTATTTATCGAACCAAAATCCGCAATAAATGTAGTGTAAGAATGCCGCAAAATGAATAAAAATTACAGTCAAATGATATTCGTGTAATAAGATATAAGCTCCAGTTTCATCTAGTTCACCCTAAATACGAAAAATTATATCTAACGTAATCCTAAAAAAGTTTGTCTCGATATTCATATTTATCAAAAAGTCAGTACAAAGTTGATATTAAAAATGTTCAATCAGCTTTTTTACAAAAAGAAAAATACTATACGTTAGACGCTTATGCCACGAAATTAGAATGAACCTTTTTCCATACATATAAATCTTATTAAATTCTAGTCCTATAACCAGAGTTGAACATAGTTAAATAAAATTAAAACTAGCTAAAATGAAAACATATTTATTTTTAGTGGTTAGGTTCAGATAACATTTATATTATAATGCGTATCCTAGTGAACGGGTGAACACAGTTATCACCACGTATCCCTGTGTCGGGTGAATACCACACACAAAAAAATAAATAAATAAATAAGCTATAGGTAGATTACGCTCTTCAAATAATAGTATATATACATACATTTCTATATTTTAATTATGAAGAGTAGAGTCCCGCACTCGGCTACCGGCACAGAAAGGAAAATTAGACACGAAAAAAATATTAATTAGATAACTGCGGTATAAATTATTCCACAATCCACATAAAGGAAAAAGAAAACTCGTGCACAACGAAACCAGTTACGTCGGAAACGAAACAGAACGCAATATCCGAAACCATATTCGGCGGCGGCCTTATCTCGGTGTCATTGGCGGGGAGACAACCGATTGTCATATTAATAGCTGGACGGCTGATATCGACTGTGACACTAGTGAGCGCCAGCCTTGAGCGACGGGCGGTGCCGTGTCATTTATTAATTTTCATCTGGATAAAGACATGTTTTTTTAGCAACTAGTAAATATTTGCCATAGAAGTAACAAAATAAACTACTTTATCTATTTCATTATTTTTCCATAAAAATTATGTATTGTAATTATTATATGTAATTAATTATATATTATTATATATTTCTAGACATGGCGTCAAAAAACATATCAATCGCTATTAGTAGATGGTTTTCGGGAGCAAAGGACCGAGAGGGGACAAAGGAAAGAAGAAAATTAATTATAATTCATTTTTTGTTTAAATTAATAACATTTTGTTATAATACATACACCACTCATTATTCAGTAGTCTATAAATTATTGTCTATTAGTCATCAAATCAAATATATATAATTCATGTCAATCCTTTAAACCATTCCAAGAAATATTTCTAAAAATGCATCGATACAAATCTAATGTAATAACAATAAGAAATTCTTTAGTTGTGACAAATCATCTATTTTAAGTAATGTAATATGTAATAAATAACACAATTGAGTAATAAACAGATAATAGTAAAAGGTCGTGACACTTCTTGCATATATAGATGAATTAAATTTAATATAAAAAGGGCATAAAAAACTGTCAATCCCTCTCACTACTACTTCACCTTATGAACTTTCAACGAATGCGAGAAATGGCTTGATAAAATACAATTTTACATAGAAAATTGAAGTATACAGAGTGATTTTTTTATCATAATCCACTCAATTACTTATAGAATAATAATAATTTAAACATTTTTTTTTATTATTATCTTAAGTTACACATTATTCTTGAATTATTAACTATGTAATACTTTTTAAGTTCATCCCTTATGCATTGTAAGGGGGTCAACTTTGTTTTTTTAAATGGTAACACATATTTTTAATTTAATAAAATGTTTGAGTTTTTAATTTAATAGTAAATGACATAAAAAAACAATCTTTGAGTGGGCTACATGTATTGTCAATACTAATAAAGATTCTCTTTCGAAAATAGAAAACCCACTTGTGATTCCTATACTACTCGAAATATTTATTGACACGACTCACAGTCAGCACTACCAACTGGTACGAGTGGCGTTGTTGATAATATATGTGTGATCATTATTAATTAATCACAATAAATTCTATTTCAAATTATTATTATATTAATAAATTTTCAAACATCACTTTGCTTTTCTATATTTTACACCTTCTCTATACCCTCGTACTCATATCCCGAGAGAAAATTATATCATATCATTTTTATTCAATAAATATTATAGTAACTCAATTATTCTCACGCTCATACAAAACCAACAAATATAACTAATTTTAATAAATTATCCTTAATCATTAATTAAATTTTTTATTTCTTTTTTTGAATTAATATAATTTTGTAATCGTTTTAATTTAGAATTTATACTCGTATCTGAATTTCTTAAGTAAGAGTTAGATTTTATCTTAAATTTGTATGTATTAAATTTTTAAAACGCGCAATTAAAAAATTCACATTTAAGGAGGAGTGGTATTACATACCTTAGCCTTACAGAATCTGTACTAGACTATCGTTAAAACCAGTACTAAGCTATTATTGGGCCTGTACTTGACCAGTATAGTACCATTATTAAGGTAGTATAGAATAGGTACTGACCCTCAGTACTGGAGCAATACTGACCTAGTACTGCGTCATTGTTAAGCTAGTATAGAATCCGTACTGACCTACATTACTGGGGCAATACTGTCCCAGAACTGTCAGTAGGTACAGAAAAGTTAAATTAATTTTATTTATTAGTCTTGTGTGTACAAATGTTCGTCAATTTTTTGTTAAATTGGCATAATTCAGAAAAATTATGTAAATGAAATTAGAAGAATTATATAAATTGTTTTATAAAACTTTTTTTTAGGAAGGTTTTTAAAAAAATAACACAATTGATACTGATATTAACCACAGAGTCAATCTGTACTGATTCTCAATATGTTCATCCTCAAATTTAGAATCTTATATAAATGTTTGAAAATTAAGCTACAGTAAAAAATTGATTTTAATTTTAATTTCTTTATAACTACTATTCATACTAATATTTTAAAACTGCTATAACTCTTCTACAGTCTAATGCAAATCTAAGTATAAGGAAGATGTAAAACAGATCATTCACGTATAAACAAAAAATATTTTATCACAATTTTTAAAATTATCCCAAACGTCTGATAATTAATAAACTATATCAAATTAAAGATTTTAGGTGAACTACAACATTAAAAATAATTTAGTACTGACCGGTTGTTCAACTATGTACATTTGACCACCAATAAAAAAAAATTGCAATTTTCATAAATAAATTTTTTTATTTTAATTTTTGAAAAGATTCCGTGATTTCTGAAAAATTAATTTCTATATAAAATTAAAGATATTTTAAATATACATTGTTTTTAAGAACAAATTTTATATTCTAATTAAAGAATGTTAAGAAATTTTTGATTCAATACATATATTTTAGCTTCGATGCGAATGCATTAATTTTACCATGATGTGTTTTTTTTTTTTTTGTATCTGTTACCACTCTTTCTCAGATCTCACTAAACCGATTCTTTTAATAATCGTATCTAGTCGAAGACGTGACACGACTTACGTCGAAAAAATGGGTCGTTTATTAAATGAGCGACAACAGGTTATTTTAACAAAAAATAAAACAAACCGAAAAGATGAACACAATAATCTTCGCATAATATCGCGGCACTTTCGCTGGTGTGGACAACGCGGTGTCCAACATGATCCTTGGACAGCAAAAGGTTAGTAGCGACGTAGGCGAAGGTGCGCGGTTGCGGATCGGTTGGTCGACGTTGTCGCTTTCAAAACGGGAGGAAGACACTCTCATCATTTGCGGCGGGTCGTCGTCGGCCGTGCAGCACTTGCTGGACTTTGCACCATGGCGTATGGCACGCGGTGTTGGCCAGTCAAGTACTCATAGTAGGGCGACGGCTGATAAAGGTGGCACGAGTCGCGGGGCATCGTGTATAACGAAGCGACGCGGGCCGTGTCAGACATTACCCTCAAAAATTGAAAAAATTTCCCTCCATTCCCGTAAATGAGGGAAACCTCCAAAAAAATTACAAATTTAAAAATCGCTAATTTTCGAAATTTTTTCAATTTTTTTTACTTAAAACTGCCATAACTTTTTCAAAAATGAACAAATCAATATAATTTTTTTATTTATAGATGCTTGATGTCTTTACCTATCATTTGTATATTTGATTTATAGATTTGACCCTAGATCTGCCCACAAGGCGGGATTTAAAATAACAACTTTTTCACAAAAAATTAACTTTTTTTGTGAAAATTCTCGATTTTGTATTTTACATTTTTAACTTTATTATGCTATAACTTTATATAACATTATTATTTTACTTAAGAATCTAAAATTGCTTATTACAGTGTTAAAAATTTTATACTATACTAATATGCAAGTTATTTGATACCTCCTCAGCTATTTATTACATTACATAATCACATTACATGGTATTCGTGTGATGGCCACCACCTCTTCGTTGCCTCAGCGTATTATTGCAGGTACTCACCAGTTTGGTCATATAATTATAATATAAAACCTCTATACGAGGAACTTTTATAATTTATATCACATATATTTACTTGTTTTTATAGTTCTAAGCACTCGGACTATACATCCCTGGTAGAATCTCGTTAACTCACCAATAATCAAATCTTAGACTTTCAAAATTGATCAACATACCATACCACATACATACCATTATTAAGGCTAATGATTGAAATTTTTAAAAAGTATAAAATTAATTTTTTATTTTTAACCTTAAGAAGTGTACTGTTCAGAGCTTTCTAAGTAAAATTATAGTAATTTTAATAAATTTCAAAAAATAATTTTGATTTTTGAGAGTGTCATTCAACCAGATATGATTGTGTTTCTTACGTCTTATTTGTTATATTAGATCAGTAGAAATTGAAAATTTGTGATAACAGGTAAAAAAAATAGTAATTGCACATTATAAAATAATTGAATACCTTCTTAGATTTAAACTGAAGCTAAAAATAAGTTGTTTTATACTATTATAAATATAATTTTCAAAATTTTTTTGGAGGGTCATTTTATTAACTGAGATTTAACTTGCCATATGTCAGCTCAGAGGCCAGGTATCAAAGATTTTTGATAAATATTTTCTGAAAAAATTTCGTTTTTCTCAAAGTTATCGAAAGGGCTACATGTCTTTCTTTACTAGTACGACAATGTATTAGTAGATATAAGTACTTTATCTAGACTAAATACATAGTGTCAACGTTTGCCTTAAACATTATATTCGAGTAATATGAAAACAAATATTTGTTTTGAGGGATGTATTTTATCATGGTATTAAAAAAAAATATTGCACGCACAAACATAAGTCGGTATCATACATCGTTTGTACAAACCGTTCACAAAATAAAACGAACTTCCTCGACGGCGGCATCTGTTAGGTTTCAAACTTAATAGTTTTATAGAAGAAATAAAGCCGTGAAGTAATGGCACGTGAGAATTGTATAAGTATGACGAATGTTTTAATAATATTATTGCAGTGTTGTTTGTACACGATTATAAAATTATAAAATCTGTTTGATCTGGTTATAAAATTTTACTTAAAATCGTATTATCAAAATATTGAAAAATTAACAAATGCTGGAAAAATTAATTAAAAATTTCTGATTTTCAATAATGTTTTTTTTTTTTAACGAATGAGCTCGGTGACGTTATTCTAGTAGAATTATTTGCGAAGATGAGAAAGTTTTTTATAGTACATCGTGAGTATTTAAAATTTTAAACGGAAACGCTCACACACGCCAAAGTTTTTCGA